TGGACGCCCATATCATTTTAAAATCTATCTAAATGTTTTATCCAGCTTATTTTCTGCTTTAGTTTGGAAAATTGTCTACAGGGCTCAGCAATTTTTTATGGTATTATGCAAGTAATGCAGGACTTGTTTCCTAATTTTTAACCTTAGATGACCTCTAAATCCTTAATGGGTGGTCCGATTTAAAAAACCTAAACTATTTTGGAATCAGTGCATTGAGCCTTTCAAGTAAAAAAGAAAAAAAAAACAGCTCTAAAATAACTGAAAGTTTGATCAAAGACCGCAAACTGGGGTTGCATTTCCTCTTGCGTCCACACAAAAGCCAGTTGGCTGCAGTCTCATTAACCTTTTGCTTTTTTTAAATAAYCGTGTCAGCTGTGGTTAGAGGAACACACAACTCCCCTTAAGTTTTAACTAATAAAATTATTTGTCACTTCTCACAGTTTACTTCACGTTTTTTTTATCTCAGTTATTTATCACCTGTCGTAGATCCCAGTCCTTTTTATTTTTGCTTTATCTGATTCATTACAACCGATTTAAGTTTCTGATCAGGGTTTAACAACCACGGCTAATTCCAAAGGTTCTGCGTTTCATATCTCAGTTTATTGCACGTGTCCATAAAGCTCGTGTAAAAAATTCACAGTCATCTCTGCGACCTGGAACAGAAATAAATCTTTAAACACAGAGGAAACGCACYGAGAAAATGACAGTAAATGAGGTCCTTTAAGAGCGTGAGTTGATTTAATTAAAGAAAAAGAATAAAGACGACACGGCAGAAACAAAAAAAAAGCTCTCCTGGGTGTGTTTTTGTGCAGAAACAGGAGGAGGCAGGTTGAGCCCTGACTGGTGCTGAGAAGCTGCCACACCTGTGTGCACTTTAAGGTGCTAATGACAGCAGGCAGGCAGCTTGGTACATTAGTGGTGTTGCTGGCTTCAGCTGCTTTTCCTCAGGGGCGTCTGCTCAGCCTGATCCCAACCTGCAGCTGCTAATCCCACCAGGTAACATCCCTGATCAACATCAGTCCTTCTCTCATAGAAATCAGAATAATTTTACAAGTATCTATTGAAATATGTGGTCCTGCGGTCACTTCTGACTAATCTGGTCTAAATGCTGTTCATTTATTTGGATGCATTGTTCACAGAGCTCTGCACTGCCTTTCTCACTTTTAATCTAATCACAGAGATGCACTTTTACCTTTTTAAAACTTCCAGTCATTGAGCTGTAAGAGTTACTTGGCTGGAAGCATTTTTTTTTTTTCAAAACAAAACGTTCACATGAGCTAAAACTGTCAAACACATCAGTTTGGACTCTTAACTTTTAAGGAAATAACATCTGGGCCGTTTTTAATCTTTTTTTGCAATCTCTTTTTGCAAATGCTGTGCTATTGTAGCCATTCATGTATCAAAACATTCAGCTCGTTAAGGAAATTGCTGCTATGCTGTGTCCTTTTTAAAAATGTTTTGTTTATTCACAAATGGTTTCTTTGGTTTTGTCCTTTTTTTTTTCTTTGAATTCAGCTTCAGCAAACAGGCTTTATTTGTATTTAGTTCTACTTTTGGCTAAAATTTTTGAGGAGTTTTGATTTTAATTTCAGCACTCATTGCCAAAAAAAGCTAATTCTCTAGATGACCTTTTGTTTTAAAGAGTTAAGTTTGATTTTGCAACTTGTTCCACCTTCAKCTCTTGAAATATTAGGACTTTGAACGAGAAACTGCAGATAAAATTATCGACCTTTCATCAGGTGCAGCATCTTGGCTGTTTCTTTTTTTTTTTGTCTGTCATTGCCACAGATAAGCGTTGAGTTGTTTTTTTAATCTTTCTGGATTGAAATCAAACTCATTTYGAGCTGACAAGAAGGGGGAACAAAGCGTGTTGCACAACTCCAGTGTTAATATGACATAAATGCAGATTCGATGTGTTTTATCAGTGGAAGTAATGGTGGTCAAAGTTCACACGTTTCAAAGTTGGTCAGCTGTTTTTATGAGTTCTTGTTCTTCACGTGTCTCCCCTCAGAGCAGAGGAAGAGGATCTGCTGTCCACACACACCTGAGAGGACCTGCAGCAGGTAGGAGCTCAGAACTGTTGAGACTTAAACTGGCTGTGCTGAAGAGTTTATGACTTTTTAAATCTGTGAAATAAAACCCTGCAAGTATATTTACAGCCTGCTGTCAAACAGATGAAGGTGGACCATCTTCTGTATGTGTGCGCATGTTTGTTTGTCATTAAATTATCTCACGAACCACKGAAACTTGCCGAAAATAATTTAGAGCTTCAAATAAGTCAATACTAGGGAAACCTGACCTAAATCTTCGTGTTGGACAAGTCTGATTCCTAATGCGTTTCCTGAGCTCCGATTCCTTCAAGACAAGATTTTCATTTCTATTTGAGAAGAATTGACCAGATGTTTTTAAGTCTGAAAGAATGTTGTTAATTTTGTCAAATGCCACAACACACAAGTGTTTAGTTCCTCTATTTGTGAAGACAAATTAGCTGTTTTTTCCCCTGAAAATTGACAGCAGTTAATTTTATTTGTGAATGTTTGCAGCAATGTTTAAAGGCTTCATCACTGCCCAGTAATGTATCAACTTTCCTGAGTTGAACCCTGGCTTCTCAAGTTCTCAATGTTGACTTTGTCCTTGAGTTATTACAGCAACAATATCAAGAGTAGTGAGAGAGCTCAAGATATTTCATAATGAGGATGTAAATTGACTTTTTTATGACTTTGTGTGATATGAGTTGTAGATCTTGACGAACCCTTTTTTTTATACTTTGTTTTGTGTTTCCAGCCGGCCCTGAGCCACCATGGACTTCATCCTCCAGTTACTGTTCTCCCCCCTCCCCATCCCGGTCGTCATCTCATTGATGGCCCTCGGTGTTGCCACCCTGTTTTACCTCAATGCTCGGCCCAGTCCCCTCCGCAGCCCAGCTGACCTCAACCGCCAGACTTTAGGCATCAAGGTGAGAACTGGGGAGCTGCTCAGTGGAGTTTTGGGCCATTCGGAAAGAATGGAAAAAGTTCTAGCATTTTTTTTGTGCAACCGTGTAAATAAACTTGACAGAATTACTTGCTTTACGTTACTCGAGTGCTTCTATATGCCTTCAGGATGGTGCAAGAAAAACTGCCTTATTGGAGAACAACAACAACCTGATGTCGTTTTACTACAGTGATGCCAGAACTCTGTATGAAGTCTTTCAGAGAGGCCTGAAAGTTTCAGGTAACAACTTCCTGCAACTTTTAAGAAATGCTGCTTGATTTGATGATCATTTTTTTAGAACTGATCCTGCTGCTCACTTCAGTAGAATAGTTTACATCAACATAGAGGCATRCACTCTGTAAATATTAAAGTTGTTGCATTGACAATATCCTGCATCAGAATTTCCAGGACAGGCAAATATAAACTATAACTGCAGATCTAATTTGCTGAAAGAGAAAAATGTCCTGCTGTTGCTAAATGAAAGTAAAATGTTTAAGCCTAAAACTATTTAAATGGGACATTTTTTGCCATTAAATACATTTTGTGTACTTGGTCTCTGTGAGTGCAGAACATTAGAAATCAGTCTCTCCTGATGCTGCATATTTATAAATTTATATTCTGTTTGGGTCATATTTTTCAACCTGTTCAGTTCTCGATTTTTCTTCGACGTTCAAACTTCTAAAAGTCTGGACTCGCCAACTACAATTTTGTAGTCTTCATTCCCCTCTGAGTCAGACTCTGGCTCCAGCATGTAAGGCTGGATGTACAAGTCTTCCCTTATGTTTTTTTTTATTCATCTGTAAAATATTTCTGCACCGCTACAGTCGTAAACCATATCAAACTAGAATGGACCGCTCTGGAAGGAGACAAGATGAGAAGCTCCTTGTTTGGATTTAAAGAGACAGCCTTAAAACGGGTTGATCTGAGACACGCCTCCAGAAAAGGGGTGAAAGAGGGGCTTGTGGAGTTACAATGAGGAGCAGTTCCACTTTAGACCCCAACTTATTTTTAAATGTGAAAAAACAGAATCATTTAAAGTAGACATATCCTGCTTTTAAATCTTGTTTATAAAGAGGGTTGAATTGGCTTAGAGTGAAGAAATTATCTGATTTCAAAGAAACCAATTTAAAACCYGACACCTGAACACACTTTGCCTCTTTTGCTTTTGTTTTGTTCCCAGAAAATTCTGATTTAACACATTTTACCTGCAGGTAACGGACCTTGTTTGGGCTACAGGAAAAAAGGAAGACCTTACCAATGGCTCAAATACAAACAGGTAAAACAAAACGAGACAAGGTCGCATTTCTCCTTCCCATTCTTTATAAATTGAAATGTTTTTCAAAAGTTTTAAGCTTTTTGTTGCAAAAAATGTTTTTCAAAAGGAAAGTCAGTCCCCCATTGGCAACATAAAAACAGGGCTCCCAGTAAATGTTTTTTTTTTGTATTAAGTTTTTAAAAAATGTAGCAAATCAGATTTCACGTTCATCTGAAAGACAAACAGCTGCAAGGATGAAGCATTTAGGACACATATTATAAAGTTTAATTTGAGGTTTCCTTCACTTTTTGTTCCTGAAGGTCTCAGACCGAGCAGAGCACCTCGGCTCCGGACTCCTCCACCGAGGTTTGAAGCCCAACACAAACACCTTCGTTGGCATCTTTGCTCAGAACAGACCTGAGGTCAGACGACTCTCCCAGTAAAGACAGATTTCAGTTCACTGCGCAGTGCGTTTGACTGGTTTTCATTGCAGTGGATTATCAGTGAGCTGGCCTGTTACACCTACTCCATGGTAGCAGTTCCTCTGTACGACACGCTGGGTCCTGAGGCTCTCGTGTTCATTATCGACCGAGGTAATTGGAGCTTCTTTCAGCCTCCTGTAATTAGCAGCATTAAGGAGCAAGAAAAGTCCAGTAACTCCCTGCTCCCACAGGAGTCTGCGTCAGGGATTTTAATCTTATTTATCTCACCTGTTCTCAGTGGTTTTTTTCTGATCACTGTCTGTGAGAAATCAGCTTTGTGTTGCATCAACTTGAACCACATAAGATCACGTTTTTACTGTTATCACCCCCCCCCCCCTCAGCTGACATATCCACGGTTCTCTGCGACAATCAGAAGAAAGCAGAAACTCTGCTGGAGAGCAGGGAAAAGGGCCACACCACAGTCCTGAAAACCATCATCATCATGGACTCTTTCAGCCCAGAGTTGGTTGAGCGTGGGGCGAAGTGCGGGGTGGACATCATGTCCATGGAGGACGTCGAGGTAACTCGAACGGAACGTAAAAGCCCCGACGGTTCACTGAACACAAACTAAATGTCTGCTCTGTTCCACCAGGTGCTGGGGAAAAGTCACCTACAAAAGCCAATTGTAAGTTTCAACTGATGGAGGAAGATGGTTGCTCTTTAAGTATTTTTGTTTTTTTTATATCTTTTCAATTTGTCTCATAACCCAACAGCCACCGAAGCCAGAGGACCTCAGTATCGTTTGCTTCACCAGTGGCACCACAGGTGATCCATTTATATCAAGATTTAATTTATCAACAGAGTATGATTCATAAATAACTTGACAAGCCCTGAAAGTGAGATTTTTTTTTTGTTGCAAAAATTCTTGAAGGAAAAATAATTGACACTAAAAGAGCATAATATCATATCCTTATGGGGTGCCGTTTGTAAAATTACAGTCAAAAATTGACACCAATATTTTTGTTCTAGCATTTTATAAGAAAACAGATTTATTTTTCAAAGTCAGTTTTTCACCATATGATTCATACATTTATAGTTTATAAACTAAATATTTAATTTACAAATTAAATATTTAGTTTATAAGCTAAATACATAACTTGTGACAGGTTTTGAGCTAAATATCTAGCTCGCAACTTAAATACTTAGCTAGCTACCTAAAATACTTAGCTAGAAAGTTAAATATTTAGCTAGCCACCTAAATATTTAATTTAAATGTTTAGCTAGCTACCTACTAATTAGGTTGGAACTTAAATATTTAGGTAGCTAGCTAAATATTTAGCTCAAAACTTAAATATTTAATTTGTAAGTTAAATATTTAGTTAAACTATGACATTTATAAATGTGTGAATCGGTGAAAAACTGACTTTGAAAAATGTATTCTTTTTCTTAAGGGCTAAATAAAGCAAAAATATTGGTGGTAGTTTTTGACTAACTTTACAAACGGCACCCCAAATTCCTCCTATAAACCGTTTCTGAGCAGCTATATAATCATTAATCCCTCTGTCAAACTAAAATGGACCTGTCTGGAAGCTGGGGGGCACAGTGTGAAGCGCCTAATTTGTATTTAAAGAGACAGCCTCAAAATGAGTTTAACTGAGACCCCTCAAAACTGAGACCCCTCAAAAGAGGTGAAAGAGGGGCTTGTGGAGTTGAAATAAGGAGGAATTCAGACCAAAGAATTGCAGTTCCACTTTATATAGACCCAAACTGAAGGATTTAAATGTGAAAGGGTATAAAAGCTTCATATGTCTCATTTAAACTTGTACAAAACTGAACACTAGTTTAAACTGTTATTAAAACAAATGACAGAAAACAAACATTTTTATTGGTCTAGAATCTTTAATATTCTATAAAGAGAACCAGAACAACTAATCAAATTGTCCTAAAAAAGACTTAAGTGTTGAAACTTTAGCACCAAAAATCAAAGGATTTTGTTTTTAAGGAAACCCTAAAGGAGCCATGCTGACCCACGAGAACGTTGTTGCTGATGCTGCAGGAGTCATCAAAACCTTTGAGGTGAGTCTGATTTAAACTTGACGCACGGGCTCTTATAATGTTTGGGTTAAACTCACCAGAACCTTGATGTTCCTCAGTCGTCCATCATTCCAACAACGGAAGATGTCACCATTTCATTTCTGCCTTTAGCACACATGTTTGAGAGAATCGTGCAGGTAAGAACCAAACCAATGAGCTTGAATCTTTAATCCTCTCTGAAGATATGTTGACATGTTTTGTTTAATGCAGACTGTGGTTTTTGGAGCTGGGGCCAGGGTGGGATTCTTCCAGGGTGACATACGGTTGTTGCCGGATGACATGAAGACCCTGCAGCCCACMATTTTCCCTGCGGTGCCTCGACTTCTCAACCGCATCTACGACAAAGTTCGTCATCCTGTTAATCTGCTGCAGGATTTTTTTTAAAAAGCTTGACTCGATGAAAGTTCAACACTTCCATGTTTTATCACCAGGTTCAGAGCGGAGCCACAACGCCGTTCAAAAAATGGCTGCTGAACTTGGCCGTGGAGAGGAAGTGCGCTGAGGTGAAGGAGGGCATCGTCAGGAAGAACAGCATCTGGGACAAACTCATCTTCAACAAAGTCCAGGTGCTGGTTCTGTSTGAACAAACGCAGGTTGTTTGAGGTGTGTTTGTGGGGTTAGTGGATCTACATTCTCTGAACCTTGACCCCCAGGAGTCCCTTGGAGGCCGCGTGAGGTTCATGGTGACCGGAGCAGCACCCATATCACCCTCTGTTCTCACCTTCCTCAGAGCTGCTCTGGGCTGCCAGGTAATAAAAACAAAGAACCAGAGTGTCGACTTACAAATGCAAATGGTTTGTTTTCAGTAATAAAATTTTTTAATAAAGTATGCCCCACTTTACTTGACTGTGGAGAACTATTAGTGTAGTAGATTTATTCATTTTCATAAACAAAATGTACTATACAATAAATTATACAAATCCCAAATAAAATGAAAGGCAGCAGAAAGAACATTCTTAACATCTGCCCTTTAAAAAAAAAAAACATAATTCAATTATCTTCAAATAACAAAACTTAAACTCAAACAGTTCTTATAAAAGCACATTATACAAATTCATATTTCTTCAACAATCTAACTTTTATCATTCTCTTAAACAAATTAATTGAGCCGGCATTTTTATAATCCCTTTCCAGATTATTCCAGTCTTATTCCTTGGACTGAAGTACATTGGTCCTTCAAATTTGTTCGAATTTTAGGCTTTACTGTTACCTTCGGGTTTTGTAAAAATGCTGTAGATATCAAAATTTGATTTTACATCAGTCTATGTAAACACCTTGAAATTGGCCGAACCTCCTACAGTTTCTGACACTCCCACTTCGGCACTTAATGCCACTTGCATTTTGTAGTAAAGTCAGACCATTTTTGACGAACCGTGTCATCCTTAGGAATTGTAAAAAGAAGGTAGCCTCCTTGGCATCCAAAAATACATTACATTTCCTTGATAAAAACTTTTTTAGTCTGAAAAGGACTGAAGTAATTACTATTACAAGCTCGGACACAGTTACACCAGGCAGGGGTGCTCAGTGGGGCAGGAGCTCAGCTCCAGGGAGGAGCTTTGGGTAAATGGTTGGTGATTTGGCTGCTCCACATGGCTACCACTGTTCTACGCTCTGTTTCGTACAGAGGAGCAGTGAAGGGGAAACTAGATTTGAGCGGAACCGTGTAGGAAGGTGAGGGCCAGGCTAGGCTACTACAGGAGATTAAAGTATTTCTCAAACATGCATGAAGAGTCAAAGCAACACTGGGTATGTTTTTTTTTTTTTTTTTTTTGAGGGAATAACAGGATATAAAGCTCAAAGTTGATTTGGCATATTTTACTTAAGACAACATTCTCTCTGACCTCAGATTTGGTCTCTGGTTTAAAACCATGTCTGTTTCCAAATCAATCAAGGTTTGAACCTTACTACTCTAGCTTATTGATTAACCGCCAGCACATTAACGTTTTGATAACACGATTGATTTATTTAGTCTTATTGACCTTGTGGCTCTCAGATCTTTGAAGGATACGGTCAGACGGAGTGTGCGGCTGCCTGCACCTTCACCATGTCTGGAGACGTCTCTGCAGGTAAACTGCACCTCCTCTTTTTCCGGTTAATGTTTTTTTTCTTTATGTAGAAAAATCAGTGGTGTAATCAAACTTTTTTCCCAACAGGTCATGTCGGTGTGCCTCTGCCTTGTAATTTTCTGAAGTTGGTTGATGTTGAAGAAATGAGCTACTTTGCTTCAAACGGTGAAGGGGAGGTGTGTTCAGGATTTGATGCTAAGCTAATGACTTCCAGGGCTAGCTAATTTTAAAATGCATGTGTGACTTCTGATCTTGAACACACAGGATGCACATAAATTTAGATTTTTGTCCTTCTGGTAAGAAGTTCAAAGAATTTTCTGGTTTTTGTTCCCAGGTTTGCATTAAGGGTACAAATGTGTTCAAAGGCTACTTGAAAGACCCTGAGAAGACCGCAGAGGCTTTGGATAAAGATGGTTGGCTCCACACTGGGGATGTTGGAAAATGGCTTCCAGTAAGAGCTTTTTTTTTTTTTTTTTAAATAAGCCAAAACGGATTATGTGCACCAGTTGAATAAATTCAACCTGAAACTCCTGCACCAGATGGCTGGACCAGACCCTCGAGTCTTGTCTGTTTCCATCTTTAGGAGTTGAAACAAAGTAAAGCGAAGCTTTAGGAAAAAAAAGTTCTCTCAAAGTGGACATGGTGAAAGGTCGACATGTTTGCTTTAGAAGAAATGAGAGGATTTGAGTGAAGGTGCTGAACATTTTGAGTTTTTCTCTTGAACCTAAGACGTCCAACTACTTTTTCTTTCTGTAAACACTGAATTATGGCTTAAACATTTGCTTTTTAAAATGTATGTCAAAACTAATATTTCCAGTAAAATTATTGGCTCCAAAGCTAGTTTTTCTTTTAGTCTAAAGGTTGTATGTGTGTGTGTGTGCAGTGTTTTTCTTTTACATAAACATCAAAAATAGACTTATGGTTTTGTTTGTGACAGAGTGGAGTTTTAAAGATTATCGACCGTAAGAAGAACATCTTCAAGCTGGCTCAAGGAGAGTACATCGCACCGGAGAAGATCGAGAACGTGTATGTTCGCAGCGGCCCTGTGGCTCAGGTGTTTGTGCATGGAGACAGTCTGCAGGTATAACTCCACCTCTTTTTGTTTTACGAATTTTAAATTGTTCCTCAGCTTTGATTATTAAGGTTCAACTCCTTCTTGCAGTCTTGCCTGGTTGCTGTTGTGGTCCCAGACGCAGACGTCCTGCCAGGTTTTGCAAAACGTCTTGGCATCCAAGGCTCCATTGAAGAACTCTGCAAGAACACAGTAAGGGAGGGTCTGTCTGGCTGTAACATGTCAAGTCTGCAGGAATTATGATCATTTACACTAAAACGGACAGTTTTGTTGTAAAACCCATAACACGTGTGTGTGTGTGTGTGTGTGTGTGAATCACGTTTACTGAAATGAAGAGCTTTTTTGTGCTTAAAACTTATTTTTCCTCCCTCAGGAAATTAAGAAGGCTGTAATTTCAGACATGACCAAACTTGGAAAAGAAGCAGGTCTCAAGTCTTTTGAACAGGTAATTTCTTCCTGAATAGTTAGTCAGACTAGTAATTGTTTTAAAGAAATTCATTCCGTAAACTTAATTTTGCTCCTGTAAACCTGAATCTCTTGGGTGTAAATGACTTTATTACCGTAGATCTAAATACTTGGTCCAATGAATTCAAACCTGTGAAGAAAACTAAATTTCATAACATCTCTCACATACTGCAGTTGATTTGTCAGTTGAGGTTTTTTATTGAGAAACTGGAGAGTTTTGACTGCATTCATTGTTTTCTTGGCCGCAGGTGAAGGACGTGCACCTCCACCCAGAGCTGTTCACCATCGAGAACGGCCTGTTGACTCCCACCTTGAAGGCCAAGAGAGCTGAGGTCCAAGCTCTGTTCCAGCCTCAGATCGACCGACTTTATGCCAGCTTACAATAAATGAAACACAAAGCAGCATTTTAAGTGTTTTTTTTCTCTTCCTGAATCTTAAACCTAATGGCTTTTTTTTCTCCATAATAGTCTAAAAACTACAGAGGTTGAGATGAGGTTATATTTCTCAAATTTCAGCTCTTAAAAATTTAAGAGTTGTTTCTGATCGTTTCAGGTGACTCCAAGATATGAAGCTTGGTCAAGAGGTGGAAAATGCCTCACAATGTGCTACTCAAATTCAAACAAGTTTATTTTTGAGTCGGTACTGCCCTCCTGTGTTCTGCTACAAAAGCTGCACAAAGTGACACTGAACTGTTTGGTTTGACGACTTTATCTGCAGAACAAAACATCTGTGCATCATTAAGATATTAGCTGAATTAATCACAACTAAAAATATCCAAAAGGAACTCAAACCCTGGTCAAGTTCTTACATTTTGTCTATTTTAATTGCTTCTACAAGATTAAAATAGTTTGATTCTGAAAGACCTACAACTAAATCCTCCGACCTGAGCGGAGATGAAATAATTTGCCTCTTCAAAATAAAAATGGGGGAGGATCAGTTCAAATCAGGAGGATCGAGTTAATCCTTCAGTAAATCTTTTGAGGACAAATATCTTGCTGTAAATACTTTCAAGTTAAATAACTATCAAAGTCTACAAATTCATTTTTAATTTTGTCCTACCAGATGTCTGGGAAATCCTTCAATATAATACAGGTCCTCAAAAAAACTAGCATACTGTGATAAAGTTAATTATTTTCTGTAATGTACTGATAAACATTAAACTTATATTATAGATTCATTGCACACCAACTGAAGTAGTTCAGGCCTTGTTTTAAAATTGATTTTGGTAAAGTAATCAATCCCCATCTAAAAAATAAGCATATCATGAAAAGGTTCTCTAAATGACTTATTAACCTAATCATCTGAATCAACTAATCAACTCTAAACACCTGCAAAAGATTCCTGAGGCTTTTAAAAACTCCCAGTCTGGTTCATTACTCAAAACCACAATCATGGGTCAGACTGCTGACCTGACTGCTGTCCAGAAGACCATCACTGACACCCTCAAGCAAGAGGGTAAGACACAGACATTTCTGAACGAATAGGCTGTTCCCAGAGTGCTGTATCAAGGCACCTCAGTGGGAAGTCTGTGGGAAGGAAAAAGTGTGGCAGAAAACGCACAAGAAGAGGTGACCGGACCCTGAGGAAGATTGTGGAGAAGAGCTGATTCCAGATGTTGGGGGACCTGCAGAAGCGGTGGACTGAGTCTGGAGTACAAACTTCCAGAGCCACCGTGCACAGGCGTGTGCAGGAAATGGGCTACAGGTGCCTCATTCCCCAGGTCAAGCCACTTTTGAACCAGAAACAGCAGCAGAAGCGCCTGACCTGGGCTACAGAGAAGCAGCTCTGGACTGTTGCTCAGTGGTCCAAAGTACTTTTTCCAGATGAAAGCAAATCAAGGATCCAGAGTCTGGAGGAAGACTGGGGAGAAGGAAATGCCAAAACGCCTGAAGTCCAGTGTCATGTACCCACAGTCAGTGATGGTCTGGGGTGCCATGTCAGCTGCTGGTGTTGGTCCACTGTGTTTTATCAAGGCCAGGGTCAATGCAGCTATCAGGAGACTTTGGAGCACCTCATGCTTCCATCTGCTGAAAAGCTTTATGAAGATGGGCACTAGGACCCAGCGGACACACGCATGAGCTGCTGAGCTGCTGAGTTCTCAACGAGCTTAACTAAACGGATAATGTGC